GGGGAGGGGGCAGGCGCCGATGGCATGCACGTGAACGTGTTCAACAGCAAGGGGCGAGGGCAGGACCCTTGTTGAACTACGACGTGGTACGGCCGCCACGCCTTCCCGCGGGCACAATCGACACCCGGAACTGGTGTGCACAGGCTGGGAATGTGCTTCTCGGGCGACCAACCCCTCACTGCAGACCGCCACACCTTGAAGATGGGGTTGCCCATGATCTCTCCGGCGCCGATTTCAAAGGTGAGCGCCTCGTCACTGTTGCGTGTGTCCTCAATCACCTAGTTTTGGGGTGGCATGATGTGACACTCGGACAGAGATGGCTGTTTGCGTCGTACTGCTGGTGCAGCCAATGCAGCATCAGCCGCATCTCGCCACTCAGACCCAGGGCATCCCGGGAAGGTTGTCCATTGGGGATGGCAGGCCGCCGACGACGCCCGCTCGTGCTTGAGACTGCCTGTGTCGCGGCCTCGTTCGCAGATACCGCACCTCCCCCTCGGGTGACTTGGCAGAAAAATGGATTGACACTGTGTCGCCCTCTACCGCAACCAGAGGCGTGTTGATTGCATCTGCGCTCAAAGTATGATGAGTCAAGGACATTCAGCCCAGGTGCCGACTAGACAATCGGGGCTGGAAGGGTGTGTCGCAGGAGGGTGGACGATTGCTGCTGCCGTCGCAGCTCTGTCGTGGGCGCTGCCGTACATGAATATCTCAAGCTTGGCATGAGACAGATGCCGTTGACGCACCTGGCGACGTGGAGCGGCACAGCCGCCGAATGACTGGTGTGCCGCAGGGAGTCTGCCCTCTAATTCGCGCTGCTGCTGCTGGTGCTGCTGCCTTGCGCCCACCCTCGCTGCTGCCACGGCACAGCTGGACCGCGCGACAATGAGCATTGCTCACGAGCACATTGGTAATCCCCATGCGCGCTTTCACATGCCATCCCGACGGCCTGGTGGCGTGCCGCGTCAGGTGCATTATTGCGGACTACACTTGGACTTCAGCAAGACTTTGTGATAGACTTGGAAATAACTATTGGAACGCGTTACAAGTGCCGGTTCCGATCATGTACAGCACGCAGATCTACAAGGGTACCGTGGCGATCGCACCTATGGTGATACTGACGAGTGCATCTGCGTAATCCGGAGATGACTAGGTTGACAATGACGTTGTAGATCTGTGCAGTGGGTACCACCGTGTCTGGGTGAGGCTGCAACGCTCTCGTCTGCTAGAGGTGGTGTGGCTGGTTGTGTTGACCGACCGACAAAGTGGAAAAGGTGATGTGCTGCCGTCTCGGTGGGCTGCCATCGCATAATGTTGCAAGATTTCAGACTCTCAGGGAGTCGCTTGGGACTCCCAGCCCCATTCCTGCTGGCAAACCTCCTTGGGGCGTGTTGCTGGGTCATGTTCGCGGCCGCAATTTTGGCGCCTGGTTGCTTTGCAAGGGCAAGCGGATCTGATGTTTCTGGTGTTACTCCTGTATGTGTCATGTTTCATGCCAACTCAAAACGCCACCAGGCAGATCCTCACACCCACATGGCGTCGTCGACGCCGCCATCATCATCCAGCTCACCGAACGCTATGTCGGAGAATGTGTTGTGAGAATCTGGGGGCTGCAGCTTGTCGGCGCACGTCAGCTTGACCGCGCCCCGGGCTTTGAGCTGCTGGAATTGCGGAAACGATTCCAGAACGCGCCCTTCACCTGCAAGGCAGATGGTAAGGCGATCCAGCCCGCCCAGCCACGGTGCAAAGCCTAGTGCCACGGCAGCGCCTGCCCTGAGGCGAACGCCGCTGAGCCCCAAAGCGCGCAGCGATGCGAGCGGTGCGCTTGAAAACTCAATCCATGACGTCGCATCGTATCCAAGCCCGGGGTGGCCGTGGCCCAGATCAAGCCGCGTTATCCCAGAAAGCCAGTGGGCGCGGGCTATGGCACGCACGGCAAAATCTGAAAGGTCCGACTCGCGCAGGCCCAAAGACCGCAGCTTGGTGAGGTGGGTGCAGTCGACCAGCCTGGTAGCCAGGGCATTGCCTGTTGAGGTGTGTCCAAGGTAAAGCTGTTGCAGCTGCTTGAACCACGGGGCCGAAAATGCAAGCACATCAAATTCCAATTCATTCAGTTGCCAGATCTGCAGCGAAACCAAGTTGGGGAGAGTTGCCAGGGCAAGCTCGTGAGCCTGTCCGTCCGAGATTCCAATGCCGTCCCGCAGAGAGAGGTCTTGGAGACCGCTCAGTGCCGAGAACGACGCAAGGCTGACGTTTTCGATGCAGTCGCAAATCTCCAGGCGCCGCAGGCGCGCCAGGCGGCCGCCGAGCGCCGAGAGGAGGCCCGGGCGCTCGTGCTCCTCCACACAGGCATTGTGTAATACAAGCGACGACAGCATTGCCGGCGCGTGCGCATGAAGGGCGTCGATCACAGAGAGCTGGACGTATGCAAGGTCCAGCACCTGTTGAGCGTGGCAGGGATCCAAATTTGTATTGGTATTGGTAACGGAAGATTCTGCATCTGGGTTCGTGTGCGGGCAAAGTGCACAACGCTTGCGGACAAGTGGCTAAACACAGACGCACAGTCGTGCGACAGCGTGCTTTTGTGCTGCAGAGGGCAATGTTGCCGGGCAAGCGCTCTGCGATGATCCTCTGTCTTGTCACCTGCAGCTTTGGCCAGCCGGGCCCATAAAACAAGGCCTGCACGAGCGCGCCGCTGCCCTCTTCGGCCAGGAAGCAGTCTGGCATGCTCAAGCATCGCAGCTCGGGGAATCGGGCCGCCGCACGTATGAGCGCGGCGCAGTTGGTGCCACAGACGTGCATGTCTTGGAAGTCCAGCCGCGTGAGCCTCGTCAGCGCCGGCAGCAGCGCGCCTAGGGCGGCGACGCCGCAGTCCTCCACGGCGCCAAAGCCGGCAAGCTGCAGTGACTCCAGCGCCGTCAGCGCGGGCAGCGCGGCTGCAAGCGCCGCAATCGACCAAGTCGCGCACCGCTGGTGGTTGTGCTGGTGGAGGTGGTCGTCGAAGCAGTTCGAATTCACCGTGAGCTGGCGCAGGGAGGCCAACCGAGGCATCGCTGCCGCGAGATCGCCCAGATGCAGCGTGTCACTGCGCAGCGCTTTGGTTGCGCGGTCGCACGCGTCGCGCAACGCCTTCTCGGCCAGGCGCAGTGAGCGGACGGTTGCACCAGCGCCGCTGCTGAAGGCGAAGACGCGCTGCACGATTTGGTCTAATGCCGCGTCTGGCAGCGGGCCTGGGAGTTGACATTTCTTTACGATACCTCCGCTTTTCATTGCTGCTCAATTTCAGAGTCGCTGATGGCTTCGAAAAGATTATCACGATGAGTATCCAAGCACGGTGAATGGCGGCAGGGGATCACAGACCTGAACATCATAGGAATGCGCGAGCGAGATTTTGGTGTATCGGTTGTGGTTTTGATGTGATCTGCGACATCTTGACCAGCAGGACGGAATACCTAGCTGGCCTTCATATGATGTATGACGATCGTTGCCGATTTCATCAGATTTTATTCAACTCGTGTTGCTAGAAGAAAGTGATGAGTGCACATTTTGCTGCCATGCGCGACACGTGACCACACGTGGTCAGCACCTGTCCAACAGGCTTTTGCCCGGCCTTGTCTTGGTGCGGCCAGAGGGTGGCTGAATGTGTTTGCCATGTATCATAATGACTAGAGATAGACCTTTGGACGCCTTTGTGGCAAGCCACGTTGGCAACGAGCCCCAAGGTGCCAGCAAGCAGGGCCCGTTTTTAGAATGGCACCGTGGCGTGATCATAACAGGTTAGATAACGCTTGTCCGAACGTATTGCGACTTCCACAAGCAGGGCTGCGGTGGAGTGTCCTTCCCATTACAGGCATGAATTCCTGAACCAGACGTAGGCACATCAAGTGAAGCAAAAATGCATGATTATCACGCCCAGGCGTCATCGCCGGAATCATCATCAGTATCAGTATCAGTCCAGGTGATGCAGTCCTCATAGCTCACCGGCTTTCGCTGCCTGTCAGTGCTTGTCACGTTCACTACGCCCTGGCCTTGCAATTCATTGAACCGCCAACACTCGCCCAGCACGCGCCCTTCACCACCAAGGCAGATGGACAGGCGTTCTAGCCCTGTCAGCCACGATGAAAAGCCTAATGCCACGGCAGCGCCTGCCCTGAGCCGCACACCGCTGAGCCCGAGAACGCGCAGCGACGCGAGTGGCGCCCTTGCAAGCTCGACCCATGGCGCCGCGTCGTCCCCGAGATGCGGGTGACGGTCTCCAATATCGAGGCGGGTCAGGCTGGAAAGCCAGGGCGCGTGTGCAAGGGCATGAATCGCGGCATCGGACAGCTGCGCGTTGCGCAAGCTCAGGGTCCGCAAAGCTGTCAGCTCAGAGCGGCCAGCGAGCAACGCGGCCAGCTCGTCTCCATGTCGTGTATGTGCCAGATAGAGCCGCTGCAGCCGCGCGAACCATCCCGCCGCCCAAGCGATGACGCCCAGTTGCTCTGAGTTGAGGTTCCACGCTTGCAGCGACGTCAGGTTTGGGAGGGGCGCCATGGCAAGCTCGGCCACTTGCGCGTCTGCGATGCCGTCCAACTCGCACAGCGCCAGGCTTTGAAGGCCGCTGAGATGCACCAGCGGCGCAAGGCTGACTTGGTGAAGGGAGTTGGAGAGCTCGAGGCACTGCAGCTGCGCGAGGCTGCCGTTGAAGGCGGACAGGAGCTGGGGCCGTGCGGCCCTCGGGGTGGAGGTGTTGTGAAGAGTCAGGGATGACAGCTGTGGCGGCGGGTTGGCGCCTAGGGCTTGGATTACAGAGGGCTCGCAGAGCGCCAGCTCTAGCACCTGGATCATCCATAGAGGGGAGGAGCAGTTGTGGTGGCGGGAGGAAGTCGGACGGTGGGCGAGGCATGATGGGATATTCCTATGCATTCACACACACGAAGGATACAGAGATTGGTTCCAAACATTAAATGCAGAAGCAGGTACACGAGGCGCCTCGCCACATGAACGCTCTTTCTGCTGGATCCCCGCCCGTCACCTGTAGATCCGGCCAAGCCGGCGGACCACACGAAAGCGCATGCGCCATAGCAATGCTGCCCTGCAGGCCAAGGCTGCAAGCAGGCATGAACAGCTGCCGCAGCGCCCGGAGGCGAGCGGCCGCGCGCACGAGGGCCACGCAGCCGGCGCTGCCCTCGGATGTGTGCAGTCCCCCAAAGTCTAGGCGCGTGAGCCGCGAAAGCGCAGGCAGGCGCGCGGCAAGGGCGGCAATGCCAGCGTCCGTCGACGCGCCGAAGCCGACAAGTTGCAGGGACTCCAGCGCTGTCAGCGCCGGCAGTGCGGCGGAGAGCGCCACAATGAAGGGTGTGGAGCGCCGCCGCCGGCAGGTGCTGTTGTGGTCGTCTTCGCAGCGCATGGGGCGCACTGTCAGCTGGCTTAGGGAGGCCAGCCGCGCCATCGCCGCAGCAAGGTCGCCCAACTGCAGCGTATCAACTCGCAGAGCCGTTGTTGCGCGGTTGCACGCGTCGCGCAGCGCCTTCTCCGCCAGGCGCAGTGAGCGCACGGTTGCACCGGCGCCGCTGCTGAAGGCGAACACCCGCTGCACGATGCGGTCCAGCACAACGTCTGGCAGCGTCCCTGGGAAGTTGCGGCGCCGTAGAGAGGTTTTGAAATCCATGTCTGCGTTGATCGGTGCTGGATCGCGGGGTGGAGGGTGCCCGCAATGGCGCGATTGGTGCTGGATCGCTGTGAGCTTTGAATGATTTGACAATTTTGAAACTTTGATCACGTTCTACCATATGTGACATGACCGGCGGTGTCGAGGCTTTGAGGTGTGAAGCCTATGGCACTGTTGATCTGCTGTTGATCTGCACGTGCAGGGCGTGCGGTTTGACCAACTTCTCTTTTGTTGTGTGCGGCGCATGGCACGCTTGGCGCCATCGAGATAAGATGTGACAAGAGTACGGTAATGGGGCCGCATGTTCGTAATCAGAAGCCACCGTGGCGGCCTGGGACACGCCCCTCCAGCCAGAGCCTCCTGTGCCAGGCTCAAAACCTGCCAGCTTGACAGCTGTGATCCTTCCTCATCCCGGCACATTGCAACACCTGTGCCAGCCCCTCAACACATATATCAGTCATAATACCAACAGTAGTTGCTCGAGAGCCGTGAAATATTACATGAACCTTTGCGCCCTGTTGCAATGGCCCTGGGCACTTTGCATTGACGCCATCAGCACTGGCGCTGCTGGTGCGTGGTAGCGGTGATGTTTGTGGAGGTGGTTCAATCCTGCTGCTACTGATGGTGGTCCAGAAACGCGGGCACCCTTGGGCAGCCGCGTGCCACTGGCTGCCGCATACACCGCGCAGCAGGGCTGAAATGATCGCTGGGCCTGCGCAATACGGCATCGTGCGCAGGGCCTTGCGTACAAGGCAGCATTACCGCCCCAGCGCCCATGTCCATGGAAGACAGGACATTCTGAGCCGCGGCCTGCTGGACTGCTGCTGCGGGGCGCGGCGCACCTGCCATTGATACTGCCTCAACAGGACCAGCGCACATGATGTTGGCTGCTGCTGGTAACGAGCTGCCCTCTGCGGCTGCAGCTCCTGCATTCTGTGGCGACCGCATGAAGGCTGGCAACCTTGGGGGCTGCCTGGCCTTTGGCTCGTGTTGCCACAAGCACGGCATGGCGGCGGACAGTGTGATGGGCGGGGCTGCTGCCATGCTCGCTGCGAGGCTCTCAGCCTGCTGTTCCTGGCAGTGCTGCTGCTGCTGCTGCTGCTGCTGCTGCTGCTGCTGCTGCTGCTGCTGCTGCTGCTGCTGCTGTTGTTGCTGCTGCTGTTGCTGCTGCTTCTGTTGCTGCTGCTGCTGTAGATTTGGCTGCTGCTGCTGTGGCTGCTGCTGCTGTGGCTGCTGCTGCTGCTGTGCCTGCTTCGGCTGCTGGTGCGGCTGCTGCTGTGGCTGCTGCTGCGGCCGCTGCTGCTGCCACGTGTGTTGCACAAAAGCTGGGCGCAGCATCTCCGCGCGAGCGGATTGCATTGCTTCACCTGCCGGGACCACTTGGCATGCTGAGGCTGCCTGTCTACTCCGAGTCCACATGGACGGGTGATTCAAAGGGCGCTCCAGCCAGCGCCCAGTGCCGCGTCCTGCTGCAGGCTCTGTGCACGTTCGCGCCGCTGCAGGAGGCCCCTCTACAGGCTTCCCACGAAGCTGGCAATCCGCCTGTGGCATCCCAGCAGCTGGGTCGTCTGTGACAGCGGTTGCAACATGACACGGCAGTGCTGACGGCTGCGACTGGCGCGGCAACACGCTGGTGCCGAGCACCCCACCGCCGACATCCGCTGCTGCTGTTGGGGTTGCCACTGCCGCAGCCACAGGTGCTGCCGCCGCTTCTGTCGCTGACAGCGCTGTGTCTGCTGCAGCGGCGCGCTGGGCGGTCACGCAGCTTGGCGAGGCGCTCGTGGCCGGCGGGCCGGGGATCTCACAGGCAGCGGACGCCGCCAGCGCCGCCCTGAGGCCGAAACCGCCAGCATGCATGCAGGGCGCAGGCGGCAGCTCGCTGGCAGGGTCGTGGCACCACCAAGGGCGCTGCTGGCGGATGACTAGGAACGCCCTGGCAGCGATGGCAGTTGCACGGCAATGCACATGTGCAGAGGCCGGCAAAACACAGCTGAGATAAGCTGGGGCGGGGCAAGCGGTTGAGAGACGGCTATGCAGCCATCAAAAAACTTGCCACAGCTCAAGCAGCAAAACAAGCGGCACCACAAGGACCACCTGCATCGCGACATAATCAGTCAAATATGCGCCAGTGGGTTTAGGCCTCACCTCCAAGAACGCCATGTGCGCAGGATCAGGCGCCGTCGCCAGGCCAGCACCGCCGCCGTGTTGGCAGCGCGCCGCCGCCGCGCCGCCTGCGCCGCCCGCCGCCACGCTCCCGTCGCAGCAGCAGTCGCAGCCAGGCGCCGGTGGAGCCGTGCCTGGCCTGCGGCTGAGCGCTTGCCGGCGCGCGACGCGGCATAGGTCTTGAAGGCGCCGACGGACAGCCCCAGCAGCACCCGCCGCCGGTGCGCTCTAGCCCTCTGCACCAGAGCCCTCCGTTGCGCGCCAGATTGCGCGGTCTCTGCCCACCACGCGACGGCCAGCGCAGCGCGCCGCAGCTGGAAACCCCGCGCTGCCTCTGCCGCGACCGCGCAGAGCCGCTCCTCCCGCTGTCTGGCCTGCCGCATGGCTGCCCCCCAGGCAGCCCCCACGCGGCGAACAAGCGATGCGGCAGCATGCCGTCGCGCGCGGTCGGACTGCCGCCGCTTTGCCGCCGATTGCGGCGTCCGCGCACGCCACCCCGCGAGGGCGCAGGACAGCAGGTGCCGTCGCAGGAGTGCCGTGGCAGCTGCGCGGCGCTGCCGCCGCTCCCGCTTGGCTGGGAGGAAAGTGCAGCACCACACCTGCGCACATGGTGACAATTGCAAGGTTTTGTTGCACGGCTGAGAAGCAATCCCGGACTTAATTGGCATTTGACATGCAATCATTAAACAAATTGACTGTCAAGTGAAGCAGCATATTGCGGTAGGCAGCTCGACCGCGCTCTCAGACAGCAGTGACCGCCATAGGGCCCCCACCTGCAGCGCAAGTGCCTGCAGCCGCCCCTCATAGTGCGCCTGCGCCGCGGCCCGCAGCCGCTGCTCTAGGCGCGCTGCTTCTGCGCAGCTGCGCCACGCCTCCAGCGCGCGCCGCAGCGAGGAGCGGTACGCGTGCCGCACCCCCGCCCGCCACCGAAGCTGCCCGGTCTGCTTTGCACGGGCGTGCGCCAGCCACCCGCCCAGGGCGGCACGCAGCGTCCGGCGGCCGCGCCAGGGCCCCACCTCCGCCTTCATGAGACGCAGCCTGGGGAGGGGGGGTGGATGCCGTGCTCAACCATTGAGGGCTGTTTCCTCAACTCGTGCAGATGCGGCAAAGAGCACGGCCGGGCGGAGTCTGCAGTATGTGGCGCTATGAGCACCAGCTTAACCCCACGCTCATCAGCGGCGATCTGTGCCCGCCAATGCCAGAACCTCCGACGCGCCACCTACCATCCGTACCGCCGCCACGCGTGCCACCCACGCTGCAGCCTCGACGCCGCTGCGAACGCGTCGGCCGCCCCTTGCGCGTCCCGCTTCCAAGCCAGCGCCTCAGCCCGCGCCCGCCACGCGGTCAGCAGTATCGCGCGGCGCCTGGCGGCGCAGTGGCCGTCGGCTCGCTCCCTGAGGGCCCTCGCGCGCGCCGCCAGCGGCGCGGCGGCGCGCCAGGCGCGCAGGGCGGCCCGCCGCCGCTCTCGCGCGACGGCCTGGCGGGCGGCGGCAACCGTGGCGGCCTTGGCGCGGCGGTGGTGGATGAACATCAGCCACGTCCTGTTGTGAGGCACAGGTACAGAAGAGTGGTTTGTGCACAGGCACTGTGGCCATGCGCTGGCGTCACGCACGACGCACGAGATCCCCGCAAACTCGCGTGCGCCACAACATGCTCTGTATGCATGCGACAGGACGAAGCCATGCTTTGCACACCCCCGCCGCCAAAGCGCCTCACCCCAGACACGCGCCGCCCACGACGCGCTCCCGCAGCTCCTCGCCGCGCAGCCCCTGCATCGCAGCCACCACGCCCCGCCAGCGGTCCGCCGCCAGCCGCAGCCGCCAGCGCGCCCCCGCAGCTTCCATAGCGCCCGCCGCCGCCTCCATGCGCCTGGAAAGCCCGGCGCGCGCCGCCCATGCGCGCAGCACGCCGACCACGCGCAGGCGGCGACTGCGGCCTTCAAGCTGCTGCTGCGCCCTCCGAAGGACCTGGCTGCGGCGCGCGGTCAGCAGCCACAGGCGCAGCGCGAGCGCATTCTGCGCTGCGCCGTGCCGCGCGCGCCACGCCGACAGCGCCGCGGCGGCTGCCGCGCGCTGCGCCTCGCTGACCGCCGCCGCGTCACGCCACGCGCGAAGCGCCCGCCGCAGCGCACCACGCGCATCATGCATCAACGCCAGCTCGAGCACCTGCCGCCGCCGGGCGCGCCGCTGTGCGCCGTCCCGCCAGGCGCCAAGCGCTTGGGACGCCAGCTCGTTCCGCCGGTGCGCTTCGGCACGTGCGAGGCGCTGTTGCTGCTCGCGCGCCCCCTGAACCTCGCCCTGCCAGCGCTGCAGCGCCTTCAAGAGGGTCGTGTAAGTGTAGTAGCAGCGCGCCTGCGTGAGCTGGCGCCTCTTCTCCTGCCGCCGCGTGCGCTGGGACGCGAACGCCAGAAGGGCGGCCGCCGCGGCGCGATGCTGCCTGCCAGAGCGCGACGGGGTTGCGAGGTGTTCCAGGAGAGGAGTTGACGATTACGCGGCGAGGTCGAACGTCGCTCAGGCTGCCAGCCGAGTGGACTCAGCCATCATGGAGCAAGGAACCAGCCGTCTTCGCCGTGCACGCCGCGGCGCCCGAAGGCAGCAGGCATGGCATGGCCGGGTGCGCGCGCCTGTGTGTAATGTCAGCTGCAAAACGCAGGCGAGCACGTGTGCCCACCTGCGCTCTCGCAGCACGCACTCCAAGGCTGCCAGCTCGCGTTGCCGCGCCGCCCTCTGCGCCCAGGCCTCAAAGCATGAGGCCAGCAGCATAAACTGGCGCTTGCAGTCGAGCAGGCACGCCTGCCGCCAGCGCGCCCGCGCCCGCGCCGCCGCGACCTGAAGCGCCGACAGGGCGGCCAGCTGCAGGCGGTAGGGGCGGCGCCATGCAGCCGTGCGGCACCGGCGGGCGCGCGCAGCAAACCAGCGCCACTGCGCGCTCGTGGCCTCGGCCACCGTGCCGCTTGATCGCAGCTCACGCCACAGGCGGCCGCAGCCCATGCGGTCACACGGGCCCGCGGCGAGCCGCCCCGTCGCCTGCATGATGCCGTCCAAGGGGCGGTCTGCGCCGGCCGCCGCGTCCACCATCAGCGGCGGCGGCCGGTCTTGCCGCCGCGCCTCGCAGCGCACCGCACCGCCATCCGGTCCCCGCGCTGATGCGGCCACAGATATCCCTCGCACTACCAGGCCGGGCTTGCCTGCTTGCTGCTTGGGCCGCCCCTGTTGCTGCGGCTGCCGCGTCGGCTGCGGTCCTGAGCATGCATGCGGCTTGCCGCAGCTGGAGCTCCCGGCCGTCTTAACGAAGCCGGCCACATCGTGTTGGCCCTGCTCGTGGCGCATGTCAACGAATTGTGAGTTGATTGGGTGGCGACCTCGGCTGGGTGGGCGCGTATGCAAGCCCTGCAGCCCGCTCGTCACCACACGAGGTTGTGATGGCTGGTCGGCCGAGGCAGCACAGGCGCGCAGGGAGGCATCATGCCGCCGCTGCTGCTGCTGCTGCTGCTGCTGCTGCTGCTGCTGCTGCTGCTGCTGCTGCTGCTGCTGCTGCTTCTGCTGCTGCTGCTGCTGCTGCTGGCGGTGGTGGTTGCCCATTGACAGGCGGCTCTGCACTCGCTGCCGCTGCTGCACCTGCAGCTTTGTCAATGCAGCCGTGGGCACACCGAAGCACTTTGCCAGCTCGGCAGGCTGCGTGCTGCTGTATAAACCTGGCATTGTCGGCTTCTGCAGCGGCCGCAGGACCTGCCGCGAGCAAGGCTGCTGTTGCTGCTGCTGCTGCTGCTGCTGCTGCTGCTGCTGCTGCTGCTGCTGCTGCTGCTGCTGCTGCTGCTGCTGCTGCTGCTGGGACCTGTTCAGCGTCACCAGGCTGCACGGCGCGTGTGCCTTGCCTTGATCCCTGGATGCACGGTCAGCGCTGTCGCTGTATTCGTTGGTCTTGTTGCCGCTGGCTGGCCGCCCAAGCAGCCTGGCCGGGCCGTTGTCCCCACCGCGTGCACCCTGCGTTCCATCTGGGCTGTTGCAGCAAGGGCCGATCGCGTCATGCTGTTGCTCTCCTGGGTGTGTCGGCAGCGAGCGCAGCAGCAGCGCTTGCACATGAGATAGCAGCATGCAGCGGCGGACAGCACGGTGGTGGACGGCTTCCTCTGGGTGACCAGTCTTATTCGGGGTGCAGTCCTGGCACGGCGGTGTGCTGCGTGTAGGTTTACTTTCGGTCCCACAGAAGTAGCATCCTTGGCCAAATGCTGTGATCGCGTGCAGCGATGTCACCCCGCGAGTTTGAACGCAAGATCGACAACGCCGTGTGCAGTCTCGTTCGAGTGGGGCTTCTGTATCACATGGTCATCTGCATATACAGCACGACTGCTAAGGAGGTCGTGTGTAACATCCATGGTGTTGAGGAAAGCGAAGCGCTGGAGGCTGCCCAGTGCCTGCAGGAAGCAGCGATCAGCTGCGCGCCTCGAAAACGCCTCCTCATTGCTCCGTGTCTGTCATCATGATACCAGCAATGCGCTAGCACTACTGGAGACCAGGATCAACCGCATGTGCAGTGCAGCATTGTTTGTGTCCTCGCCATTTGCGCGCTCGGCTGCTCTGCTGCTGCCTATCAATCGCAATGCAAGGACGCACAAGCTGCGTCTGGCACCAGAGGCCCTGAATCAGCTGAGCCCAGTGGACATTACATCCGCCGCTCATGCAGACAGCCAAAGGGTGCTCCGGAGCCCGCCACACACCGCCAGGCCCCGAACCCCACGCAGCCGTTGCGTGGATATCGCCGCCATGTGGGCGTCATGGCCCGGGGTTGCGCGGCCGCAGGGTACCTCCCCAGCACGCCCATGGACAAGCAGGCCCTGCGAGCGGGCCCACCACCAGGGACGGGGCCTGCCCAGAAGCTTCGAAATCAGCGGCCCTTGAGGTAGTCCTGCAGGACCGCCAGGCCCTCGGTCTCATCCCCTGGAGGTCAATTGGCCAAGGGGTGCGTGGTGAGTTTGCCAGGTGTGAACGGTAGAGGCGAGGGCTGCGCTTATACCCGTGCTGCAGGACCGCCACGTTTTGCACCAGTACCGCGATTCAAGCGCTGAGCCGCTGTATGCCTGCACTGAAACCCCCGGGACGGGTGCTCAAGGCTGCCCGCCAATGCGCTGCCGGGTTCCCAGAGCTGAGTGCCAGTGTGGTCAAGCCCCAAACCGCGTCCCGCCGGCGCCAAGGCTCACCATAGTCGGTGATGACGGCCGCCGAGCAGCCGACGACCTTGCGCGCGGTGCCCTCGGCGTCGAGCTTGCAGAGCCCCGCCCACTCGCCGAGCTGCTTGTTCTCGGGGATGGTGATCAGGTTGACGTTGTGCTCCGCGCACAGCGCCTCGATCAGCTTCTTGTAGTCGGGCTGGTTGCAGTCCTCAGCCAGGATGCACAGCTGCGCCTCGCCCTTCTCGATGGCGCGCGCCGCCTCGTGCAGGCCGCGGGAGAGGCCGTCGTGGGCGAGGGCCTTCTTGAGGACGACCTGCACGGCGGTGTTGATGTCCATGGGCTCGCCCGGGGCGGGGGCGGCAACCTCCGCCACGGGGGCGGGCTCCTCTCTACGCGGCAGCAGGGCGGGCGCAAGGCGTTGCGTTCGGTAAGCATGCCGCAGGGGCGCTGGCGAACAGTATGTGCAGCGCGCAGCGCGCGCTGCTGCCTGCCGCATCCGCCCTCGCCATGGCTGCCTGGCCACGCGCAGATAGCTGCAGGCACTGCTGCAACTAGCGTTCAGTGTTTCAGCCAGCACGTACGCAAGTCAGAAACTGCCAAGTGGAGCCCGCATCACGGGACGGCCGCAATAATGTCCAGCCCTCACCCTGCGTCAGACATTTTGGTCCTCGGCGGGTAAACGCCTCCCTTTGTCTGAGAGTCCTCGAGGAGTCTGCGAGAGGCGAGGAAAGGAGCAGCTGTGAGCTGCGGGACCTGCAAAGCCTGGGCCCGCGGCGGCTTGCTTTTGAAGTGGCAAGGGACACCCACCTGAAACGTACTAGAGCGTGCTGATCGTAAAGAGGGCCTTTGCAGTGCTGGGCAAGACTTTGTGTAAGTGGGGCACCGGAGGTAGATCGGCGCCAAGGACGCACCCCGTGTATGGTGGTACCCCAAATGTACAGCAAGTGGTTCAGCACACACGCTCATATCGTTCCTAGAGAAGTTGCAGCAACTGGGTAGGGGTAGGGCATTGGTAAGCCTCCAGTACTTCCAGCCCGTCCCGCTTGGCGGGCAAGTACTGTGCTTGAGCAGAGCGGCGTGCCCTCAGGCGCAGCGGGACTACAGGTAAGCAGGTGAACAGATTCCAGCTCATGCATCTGTGGGCTACAACAGGTGTTGCTCCAGATTGGGGCCATCACACAACACTTTCATTGGATTACACAAGGGGCTCACTACATCAGAATGACATCAACACGACACCAATGGGAGTCGCGTAAGCACCGCTCCACCGGTCCACGTGGGGTTGAAGAGGCTTGCACGGCATACACCGCCATAGCAGTTGTGAACCTGGCCGCACCGGCACAGTGGTGCGCAACAGGCGCATGCTGCGACCCCTGAGTCCAGTCGTCGCGCCAAGGGACACAAGGAAAAGGAATGGGAGTGAAGGAATTGTAAAAGCGGCAGTGCCCCACCACCACAGCAAAACGGAACAAAGGAGCAAATGGCTGAGCGAAGTAACGTGCAAAGACAAGTCGACGCTGGGCACGGGGTGGGCCGGCAACGTGGCAAAGGCAACAAGGAGGGTGTGTGGTGCAGGGGTGGAACGCGTCCGGGACTGGATGCGTATCTGAATGGAGGTAGCGGGGGCGGCGGCCGGAATAACACAGTGTAGCCCCTGGCTACGGCAGCGGCCGCACGTCTGCTGAGCCCTCCGTTGGGCCGCTGCCCGCACCTCCCAGGCAAGGGGCGCCGCGCCCTTACGCCTGGGTGGTCTGCAAGCTCGAGTTGGTCATGTGCTCCTGCTCGACCGAGCCGCCGCCCGTGAACGCGTCGCACGAGGACCGGCGCTTCCGCTTGCCCTTGCGGCGGCGGTCAGCCCAGTCCTCTCCAGATGGCTGCGCGGCCGCCTCGGCGCAGCCGGATGCGGCTGCGGCGGTGGCGGGCGGCTGCGACGAGCCGCCGCGAGGCGCGGGTGGCGCCGCGGAGGCGGCTGGCTGCTGCTGCTGGTGCTGCTGCGGCTGCGGCTGGCCCAGGCTGGGCGACTGCTGGTTGGGCTGCGGGAGAAGCTGCTGCTGCTGCTGCGGCAGCGGTGGCGGCTGCGACGGCGGTGCCGACGGCACGGGCTGCTGTTCCAGCTGCCCTGACATCCCCGTGACAGACGGCACAGGCGCAGGAGCCGCGGCCGCTCCAGCCGGCGGGCCGTCCAACCCGCTGCCCTCTGCGCCGCTGACGTTGGCAGCGCTGCCGTGGTGGCTGTTCCCGTCAAACCCTCCAGCGCTGTAGGCGCCGCCCTCAGCTTTGCTGCCGCTTTGGCAGCCACCGCCGCAGCTAATCACGCTTCCACCATACACGCGGCTGGCAACACCATGCGCTTCGCTGCTCAGCGCGCGCGCGTCAACGCCCAACCTTGGCTGCTGCGGCAAGGGCGGCTGCGAACGCGCCTGCGGCAGCAATTCGGTGGCATGACCTTGCTGCACTCGCTGTGGTTGCTGCTGCTGTTGCTGCTGCTGCTGATACTGCTGCTGCTGCTGCTGCTGCTGCTGATGCTGCTGGTGCTGATGCCCCTGCAGCAGCATCTGCAATTGCTGCAGCTGTGCTGTCTGCTGCTCGTCGCCCGCTGCGCCACCTGCCGCTGTAGCTGCGGGCCCGGCGCCGTCCCTGCGTCTCCGCAGAGGGGACGTCACCGCGGCCGATTTGGACTCAACTGTGCGCCCAGGCAACCCCGGGGACCTCCGCGCCACCGGCCGCGCCGGACCGTCCGCCTCTTGTTCATCAGGCTGCAGCTGCTGCGCATCACCGTCGAGCGCCCGCCCATGGCTGCCTGCGCCCTCGCTCGGCGTCTGAGGCAGGGCCTCGTAGCCGCCGGCCGCGAGCGCGCTGTGCTGCATCGCGTCCCCTGGCGGCGCGGCGGCAGCGCCCACAGGGGTCGTGGGAGACGCCGCCTCGGCGCCGGCGCTGGCGTCAGCCGCCGGGAGGGGAGCGCTGGCGGTGGCGGCGGCAGGAGGGGCTCGGCCGGCCGCAGGTGACGGGAGGCGCTCTTCCCCGTGCGGCTCCTCCTGCTGCTGCTGATGGTGCTGCTGGTGGTGGTGCTGCTGCTGGTGCTGCTGCTGCTGCTGCGGCTGCTGCTGAGGCTGATGTTGTGCAGGTTGCTGCCACTGCCGCGGCAGCGCGGGTTGCCGAGGCGCCGCAGGCGGCGGCGTGACAGCAGGGGATAGCGACGGCCGTGGCGCAGCTGCTGCACCCAGCCAGCTTTGGACCGGGTTAGCAGCATTGAGTGCTGCCGCTGCGGGAGGGCTACTACTGCTGCGATTGCCGTGGCCGCGGCCCGCCGCGCCGCGCCCGCTGCGGCCGCCGCTGCCGGGCGTGCTGCGTGCCGCCTGCGCGGCGGCCGCCTGCGGGCCGCGTGGCGCGTGTGCGTGATGCGGCAGCGGGGGCAAGCCCCCATCAGGCGCATGGACGCCCGAAAACGGTCCGGCTGCGCTCAACGCCGCCGGCGCGCACGCCCTGTGCACACCCGCGCCACCGTGCACGTCCGCAGTGTGCTGGGCCCCCGACGCGCCCGCTTGCCGCGTGCCCATGCTACCGC